AGGGGCGATCTCATCCAGGCTTTCAAGATAATTAAAGGAATAGATAATGTCGAGTGTGGTAGGTTTTTCCAGTTTGATGGCAGCAAGAGAACGAGAGGTAACCGACTTAAGTTGCGCAAACCGCAGGTGCGGCTCAGGTCGAGACAGGAATTCTTTACTTGCAGAGTGGTGAACGCGTGGAATGCGTTAGATGACGAAGTAGTGGCTACCCCTTCTGTGACTATCTTTAAGAAGAAACTAGATGCTTTCATGGACAGGCAAAAAGGTGGGGGGCAATGCTGATGTAGGTACTAGACAGTAAGCAACTAGGATAGTCAAAAATAAATAAATAATAAATATAAATAAAAATAAAAATACAAAAATATTTAGCTTTAAGAGGGTTAGGCCTACCCTAAAATTAAGGAACGCTCGACCTCGACACGTGATATCGAAATGGGCGAAATCGCCTCTTGATATCACTAACATTCTTGACTCTTACCTCGAAACCTAAACATCATTGTTCACACTGGAGCTATTTTCAGGAATATTTCACTATGCATGCATGGGTATGGTTGCAACTGGTTCTCAAAATTTCACCCGGTTTGGCTGAAGTATTACTATAACCCATCAGTGAAAAGAAGTAAGATATTGAGAATGGGCAGGAGCTCCTGCTAGTTGTTGAGTGGAGAAAACCCTCGAGCTCTCTCCTTCCTGGTCATCAAGACCATGTCGAACTCCTCTGTTTGAATCCATTCTTTGGGTTGCTTGTCTTTTGCAGATGGATTTATGAGCTTATTCCCACTGAATAACAGATGAATCAATGAATATCAATCCAGAGAGTTTTCTTAGAGTTCACTTAGAATTTCCCTTACAGGGAGAAAAAGTACATCGGGAGTTTAATTTCTTTCACGGACATAATTTAGAAATATTGGTTGGTTGTATCTTTGTCTTTAGAGTGACTTTATGTTTCCACTTCTTCAGGATATGACAAGTTCAAGGAGAATCTGGCTGAGATGATGGGACCCAATAATTTGTTCTTCGATTACTACTGGTCAATCACTTGGCGTTTCGTCTCACCTATAACACTCACTGTAACTGGGTGATAAAGGTGTTAAAATTAATTAAATATCTCATATCCTTTGGTTCATTTTGAATTGTTTTCTTATATACTTCTTTGAGGTGCTTATGTTCCTCACGTGGATACAGTACACCCCCGTAAAAGTGGGAGACTATGCGTTCCCATCCGAAATTGAGGGACTTGGATGGTGCATGGCTTTCATATCTATCCTCCCAGTACCGATTTTCGCCGGGTATCAAATCCACAAGGCAAAGAAGGAATCAAAGGTGAGACGACACAGGGTTGTCATAATAGGGAAAGGAATAAATAGTATTTCGTCAAGTATATTAACTAACTTTTTGCTTCAGCCTCAAATTTCAGTGTGGCAAGTTCAAGACTCCTTCTACGACCACGCGCGGGAGTCCAGCTCTGTAGAGTTCTTTGGAGATATTCAGAGAAATGGGAAGAAAATAGAAGAAAGCTACGACAATTCTGACTTCAATAGTGGTGCTCTGTCTCGGTCTAAGCCTGCACGTTCGTATGGCTACGTCAATGAAGACGCTGCCACTCACATGTGATCTGCAAGCACAAGTTTCTGGAGATTCTGTCACATTCAATCCACCTTCCATTTCGAGTTCGCTCGACGAAGTGTATACAAGATGCTATTTTTGAACGAATAGAAATAAAATGCTGGATGTAAGGAGTCTCGTGAAGTTTCTCACCCAATGAGTGCATCCTGATTTTGCCGTTAGCGTGTCAAGAAGATGCTAGAGAACTCACCTACTATTATGCATTAGTACTTATATCTCTATATACAGTACCTGCAGTACCTTCATTATTGTTCCCTTTCTACTGCCGCCACCGCGTGTATGAATACAAAGATACTCTTATACCTGCCTGAAAGTGCACAATTTTACCAGCACAACCGCTGCCTCTCCAGAAGTTTTTCTAGTTTCATTTAAAAAAACACCCTGGTATACGTGAGGCGTGTGTAAAGTACAGGACCTTTCCAATAAAAGCCTACGGGCACAGGCATTGCGACGAGTGTGAAGTAGATACCCAAGTAGCACTAGAACGTTTAATGAATGTTCAATGGACGTTTCATTTAAGGCATTGACAAAGTTCCATGACGTCCTTGGGAATGTTCCTTGAATCTTCAAATGTCCGAAACGTAAAGCGATCAAAAACAGTTAGAATTGTGCGTTCCTTGAACGTTCAACAAGAAAGTGAGTTGAATGTCCCCAAACAGGGCCAAGAGGTTCGAAGAACTTTCTCTTTCTGGACTCATCCATTAAGCAATTAACATCTCGGAAACGACCTTATCATCAATTAAGTTGCAATAAGCCCAAACACGTCCCTACTCTCGTGACGGGGCAGAGACCATCAGGTAGCCGAGCTTCTCATAGTTTGATTGGGAGTACTACCTTCCCTTGTTTATAGAGGTAATATGCTAGACTCTTTGTGTGTATTATAATTCCTTCACAGGAGCATAATTCTTCCAGATTATTCCATCAGGTTAGCAGTCGTTTCCCTGCTCCAGAATTGCGAGCCGAAATAGAGTTAGTGGGGAAACATTCACCACGCCTGTATCTCTCTTCACTTAATGAGTCCGGCACGCCCCACAATACATTCTGTTTTTAAAAACCATATTGTAAATTACCATCCACTCATTCGATAAACCTTCCATGGAGTCGGATTGTAAGTTGAACCATCCTCCCTCCATTAACAATAGCCAGAGTTTTCTGGAGACACCTTGGACTGGGTTACTTCTTTAGATCAATTTGTTGAAGAATTCAAATGTCTTCCCATATGGTGTCTGTGGAGAAAGATCGAGCACCGTGTGGAAAGTATTGGGTACTAATTCTAGTTGTATCCAGATATTGACTCGCAATAGCTGCTCCTTTGGCCCCATTTGACTTTGGTTGTGCGAACCTTTGTTGGCTCAAGCCACTGCCAGATGGATAGCACAGGTATGCTTAAAGAAAACGTCTCATAAACGTTCAACTATTGCCCTTCAAAAACTTCATGGCTTGGTAATCAAACGGCACTTTGAGCAGTCAAAAGTTGGCTCATCCGTGAATATTGGACATCCCAAAACCTCTTTGAGCATAGGTTGAACGTCCTCGAGAACGTTCATGTGTTACTTGGGTACCCATGTTAGGACGTACCAACCACCGTCTAGAGGTTTTTCTCCTCTGAACCCGAAATAAAGCAAAAGTGCAACAGCCCGAACCCTCAGGTTGCACGCAACCGAGTTGGATTTTCCTTGGGTGTTCTGCAGCCAGGGGGCGAGATGCTTCGCGTAGGCCTATGGTCGTAGTCAAGAAATAACTGCAGGCCTCACAGACAGTCACTTTGTCGCAGCTCCTCGCAGTCACTGTGCATCGGTCCTAAGAACGACAGAAGCGCCTTAATCTCTCGTTCTCTCTTGGGACTCCCCTGAAAACAACTCTAAGTTGCCCGTTCATTGAAAAGACGTTTGTCTGGGCATAGTGACTACAACACGTACTCTATTCTATTTCATTCCATTTTCAATACCGCTTGTCCCATCTTAGTCGCGGCTTGAGTTGGTGCAGCAGCAGCCTCTTTCTAGAAAAGCGAATTTATAAATTCTGAATGAGCTGAAGCAAAACCTTTCGCTTTAAATGTACATATTCTGCAAGTATGATCTTACCACAATTACTGTCGGGGAATAATCAAAGGATACGTCTTTCCGCAATGCGTTGACATAGTTGCTTCTGATCGACTCGATATCTTCAAATCTCCTCCCCTTCGGGTCTGATTTCAACTTGGGTAAGAGAAAGGAGTCACGTGGAGCCAAATCAGGCGAGTGAGGCGGGTCGTCGAGAACAGGGATGCCATTCTTCGCTAAGAACTGTCGCCCCCCATACGGAACTTTCAAATACAGGCGTAAGTATAGGATTGTACAGTACTGAATTCAGCCATGTTTGGAAACAGTTCAGTCCGTATCATGTTTTGGCCATTCTTAATAAATATGGAACTATATACGGTCCATATACAGATCCCCGTTTATGGTGCTAAGTTTGCAGTGTATATGACACTAATATAAACTATACGGAACAAATACTGTACATGGAATTTATTTGGAAACTGTTCAGTCCATATAATGTCCATGGAAGCACAGGCATGAACGTTGAGGCCTTCCATATGGCTTGACATCTAGCAGTTCGTTCAATAAATATGAAGTTCTCACGATATAAGCGAGGTCGCGCTCATCCCATCATATGTCTCCCGATTCCCCGAATCCTAATGAATGGTTCTGCAGAAGCTTTCACCCTCAACTCGATAATTTCCCACGTACAAACCGAAGGAAGGAAGTCGTTCTAATCGATGCATATGTTGAGAGACGTAACGTAGCTTAAGGAGGCTCCAGGTAATTCTTGCTCAATGCACAGAGGGAGTGAGGTTCCCCTTGTGAGGTGAGTCACAAAACAGCCTCTGCCTCAATCTCCCATTAATAATGCATGCGGGGACCATCTATATTGCAAATTAAGAACCGTATAAGTGACCTGTATATGGTAATATATAGTTGCATATATCCAAAGTATTAAATATGGCCTAAACATGCCAAATTGTTTTATGTGCCATATACATTGCAGCTAAGCACCACATTAGGGGCTTATATATGAACCACGTATAGTTTCGTATTCATTAAGAATGGCCAAATCATGATATGGTCTGAACGACTTCCAAATACAGTCTCCCATGTATGATTTTTATTCGTACCATGTACATTACGAGCAAAGCCCCCCTGTATGGCCATATTTGATCATCCGCATGAAATCTGAATATGGAGTTCCCATAAGGACCAGAGCGGGTGGTGTGGGCTGGGGCGTTCTCGTGCTACAGAATCCACGTTCCCGCCTCCCATTTTTCTTTCCCGGAGAACGGCGGGACTGATTCAGGACATCCAGGTAGAAGCCTCTGTTCAACCTTTTGTACGCCGGTACGAATTCGCAGTATCAAAGAATGCAATCGGCATTACCTTCGACTTTTGCCGTCGCGCTTTTTTGGGTCTCGGCGGACTTGTCGTCTTCCAATGCGAACTTCGGCGTTTGGCATCGGGGTCGAAACCATAAACCCATGTTTCATTGCCCGTGATGATGCGAAACAGGTGAAAATCGTTTGTGGCACCGGTCAATAGATGCTGACGCGTTGCTGTTTCCGTCCGGCATCGAGAAGGCGCGGAAGAAACTTTGCGGAGACATACCGCATCCCCAAATCTTGGTTGATGATGGCATGACGGGTGCCGATCGACGAATTCGTCTCCTACCACTTCTCTAACTGTGCTGCTCCTGTCGAAGCTCACCGGATTCTAGACACGTTCGATGCCTTCGTCGGTTCGTGACCTCGAGTCCGAATGCGCACCGCGATGAGGATGTATAGATGATCGTAAGAATAGATCTTAACATCAGAAGTATCGGTTTGCATCGTCTAGAACAGGGGTGCCCAAAGTTTTAGGTCAGCGGGGCCGCATAGCCTGTAGGGAGCGGGCTCGCGGGCCGCATAATTGGAAAACCTTGCTTTTCTGCCTGGTAAATAATATACCAAATAAAAATATTTTTCCTGGTTTGGACCTAATTCAACTTGCTGTTTCGCCGAAGTGGGCCTCTTTTATCTTGCCTCTCATCATCCAGCGACGGTGGAAATGGAAACTAACGACGAGATAGGAGTTTTTGACGTGATTCTGAACCAAACTGCCAGGTTTGGTTCATGCCTGGACTGCCAGGACTGTCGAACCATCAGAGATCAGCTCAATCCTCTTCAATGGTTCAATACCTGCGTATTCTCTCGCCCTCACAGATCGCACCTGGATGTGAAGTCCAGCTATGCGCCTCATGTTTACCCGATGAAAGTGTCAGGATGATTCCATATCCGAGAATTTTGACCGGGAATAGACCGTACTTACCCGCGAGAGAATTTAAACCTAGTCGTTCATTCCGTAGCGCTAAAATCGTTCATTCATTTACATCATCATAACAAATTCATTTGTTTTCCAAAACTCCTCGCGGGCCGCACAAAAGCCCTTGGAGGGCCGCACTTTGGGCACCCCTGGTCTAGAACGTCGATTATAGAGCCTACGGCTTTTCCGTCTTCGACTCCTATGCCTCCCGCTCTCGATGGGTCCATTTAGACCAATCCTAAGAACGGTTTGTCGTCGGTTTCTGCCACTCGTAACTTCGTTTCGAGTCGTTTGAAAGTCCTCTGTCGGTGGGAACTTTTTTCTTCTTCGAAGTTCTTAAGCTCATCTGCACTAACTCCAAAGCATTCCGGATTCTTTACAGTCTCGACTCGATTTCTGCCTTCTCGCGTGTACGGTCGTTACGCTTCCGCTCTTTTTGGATCTTCAAGTTTTACAGATCTGTCTGGCAATATGATTGCTGTCGATTCTGCTCCACGCCCAACCCGACTTGACCCATTTTGACCACATGAAAGCCAGGATTTTAACATGCAAACGTGTACATGGAATTCAGTTTGAGCATCTTATTTAAAGCTATGGTAACGGACTTTTGACTCACTCTGTTTAGTGTCAATAGATTGTTATCGCTCATTCTATAATTGATATTATTCTCGTGATTAGAAATCAGTCACACGACTTTAC